TTACATCCTCTTTACCTTGGAGGGATATTGGGTAGAAAGGGAACGGTTATGCTTTCGGCTTGATTCTGAATGATTCCTTGACTTCCTGTCAGACTATTACCAACACTCAAACCAAGGATATGAGTGGATGGGAATGTTAGTGCAGGCAGACTCTTAATTACCATGAATATTTTAATAATGTACACCCCTGTCCGTTTGCCTTTGTTCCCCCATCTGTCCAGGTGACCCATGACTGCTGTGATGGGGAGCTGAAGGAGGCCTGGACTGGCTGTTTTACCCCAGTTGGTGCGAAGGATCTGTCTGGGGGCTCTGCACTGGAGCTCAGCCTCATTGAGATGCACAGGCAGACCCATGCCCCCCCCCCCCCATTACATTACTGCACTTTAGCGATATGCCGGGCTGGGGCTGCTCAGCTGCATGCAATCCCAGGGACACAGAGTGATGGAGGACACCGAGGCTGAATTCACCGCTTGCATTTGACCAAGGTCGCCTGGAAACCTGCTTTTTACAGCAGCGTTCGTAGATCGTCGCTGTGCCAGACAGCAGGATGAGCCATCCTCAGAATTATAAATACAGTTCATTTTCTTGAATCCCCATCTTGCTTTGCACATGTGTGTATCATGGTTTTGGATTCTGGGAGCTGTCAGTATTGTTGTTTTATTTTTAACAGGAAGGGGCAGGCTGTGCGAGACAGTGATAAATTCCCCCAGTAAGAAAATGTCTCACAGCTCACATACACCAATCGAATAGCTCAAGCCAGAGCTGCACAAAGCCAGATGCATCTCTAGGAAAGACCAGGCCAATTATCTCCCAATGTATGTCCTTGAATGTTCTAGAATGTTACACGAGAACAAGGGATTCTGCCGCCTTGCAATAGCAGGTGATGAGCGGGTGGGTGATATGTGGCAGGTGATGAGCGGGCGGGTGATACGTGGCAGGTGATGAGCGGGTGGGTGATACGTGGCAGGTGAGGAGCGGGTGATACGTGGCAGGTGATGAGCGGGCGGGTGATACGTGGCAGGTGATGAGCGGGCGGGTGATACGTGGCTGGTGATGGGCGGGTGATACGTGGCTGGTGATGGGCGGGTGATATGTGGCAGGTGATGGGTGGGTGATACGTGGCAGGTGATGAGCGGGTGGGTGAAACGTGGCAGGTGATGAGCGGGTGGGTGATACGTGGCAGGTGATGAGCGGTTGGGTGATACGTGGCAGGTGATGAGCGGGAGGGTGATACGTGGCAGGTGATGAGCGGGCGGGTGATACGTGGCAGGTGATGAGCGGGAGGGTGATA